AAAACTTTAGGGAAGTAGAAAGCCCCATCTTCATTCTGCAGAGCTGCTGATGGGTTTGAATTGTCAACCTTCTGGTTAGCAGTCAAATGTCTTAGGCACTGCACCACCACAGATAGATAGATAAAAAAATATTTATGTGTATGTGTGTGTGTGTGTGTGTGTGTTTAGTATCACAAAAATTAACCAAATAGACTATAAAAAAATCTGTAAAGGAAATGAAATACCAAGTGAGATATCATTTATGTCTTATACTCTTTCAGAAGATGTATTTTCCAAGTATGACAGTGTTACCAATTTAGCTAAAAGGGTATTTATGATACTGGGTTATTAGTTAATTCTTCACACCCCATTTTTATATTTAATCACTCTGTTCTAGTTTGCTTTAAAAACTGAAACTAAAAATTGAAAACTCTAAAGTGAAAATTTCAATTCTGAGTTTAGTATTTAGCAAATAAAGATTCACAAATACCTTCTAATTTCATATATATGAATCTCAGTCATTTCTTCCATTAAATAATATTAGTGCTAGAGTAAAAATAAGAATATCAACTCAACAAGAGAAAAGATATGATTGACTACCTTATGGAGTCTTTTTAAGTTAAAATGTGCAGACTTAAGATTGGACTGTTCAGTTTCTTTATTTTTAAGATGGCTCCATTTCTCAGGACAGAAAGACACAAACACAAGCAGCAGCTGTTCGGGCTAGCTGAGACTATGTTTATCTGCTCTCCTAAAAACACTAGCTGAGTCCTCAGAAGAGGAATTTCAGATCTGACAAGGCATGGGAAAGATAAAGACTAGGGATTCTAATTAAACAAGAAAATTCAATTAATGACATAGGTTATTCTATTCTTCACATCAGTACAAATACAAACTCAACCATTCTAAATCAGGGAACCTGCCTTTCCATCCCTAATCATGTGATTTTACAACTCTTACAAAGTAAAAGAATTATATAAAGGTATAACCAGTTTGCCTTCTTTAGAGGCACTGCAACATAGAAAAGAAATTGTTTATTGTAAGCTGCTGCTTCAGAGTTCTGCAGATTCAAGGTACTTCAGAGCCCCAGTAATCAAGCAGTTCATGACAAAAGATGAAAGTGAAAAAGTAGACACAGAGATCTGTGAAGACTTCGCCCATTTTGCTATAAGTATCCATTGATCGATTTATCACTTCAGCAGGAATTCCAGATAACAAAAGTGCAGCAGTTAGCACTGTAGTCTTTATCTTCTTTTCACCCTGTATAGAAAAAGACTCATATGAATTTCATAGCTTTCAGCAGACTACTTAAGCTATATAAAAACATGATCAGTACTGTTACTTTTGCCTGATTGCTTTCAAAACTGTTGATAGCGTTTCAAAACATCAATCAATAGTGTATTAACAATATTTGTAAACATGTAATATGTAAAGCCGCAAACTGTGCTAGGCAGTAGGGAAGGGATGGCATATTGACTCTCCAAGTGTAAAAAAAAATGTATCATTTTGGAAGCACAACATAAATAATAATAAGATTTCAGCAACAGCATAAGAACAAAAGAGGAAAAACATTATGCAGGGCATAAATAACTGAAATGAATGACATGCATAATGTGTGGCCCAGGAGTTCAAAGGAGCTAGAAAATGCTTCACGGTTTTATTTACAAGGTGTTATTTATTCCCTCCTGAAACTCAGGGAAGGATTTCAGGAGGGAATGGAATTAAAAACAGGACTTGAGGAATGAGCAAGATTTTAGATGGGCAAAAATGAAAGGAGAAATCTTATTGCAAGGTAAGTCTCATGACAGTGAAAGTCAGAGGCAGAAGAATCTAGCTCTATTGGAAGACATGGGTAATTTGTAACAGAATCATAGGAACATCCTACAGACTCCTAATTACCATACAAGGAATTCACATTGATTACATATCTAATATCTGGATATCACTGAACAGTTCAAAATATTTTTAGTGGAAGGGAGAACATTTATTTCCTAATTTCCTAGTTTTATTTTTTAAGAGATTCAAGGCTGAAGTTTAATTTATTAATTTGGTGAGACAGTCACATGGTTCAAAAATTTTGAAAATATAAAACAGATACAGTTACTTAAGAGAAATGGAAGTCTGTGCTCACAAAAAGGCTCAAACAAGAAAGTTCTTAGCAGCTTTAGTCATAATAGCCAAAAACCGGGAACAAGCAAGATGTTCCTTGTTCAGCTTACCTAGTGCCACTCTGACAGGAATATACCACAAATGGGATGGCCTTAACAAACAGGAGTTTATTCTTACAATTTGGAGGCTTTAAGTCTGAGTTCAAAGTGCCAGGCTCTAGGGGCTGGGTGAAAGCCCCTCAATCATGGGGTTCAGCTGTGCCTTCTGCTCCTGGCCCACTGAAGCTAGAGGCTTTTCTTCAGTCAGACAGCTGCTGGCTGTTGAGGCTGACAAACCCAAGGTCGACAAGTAAAAGGCACAGTTCCAACATTACCAAACAACACAGCAGGCCATTGATTTAAGTCCATTGAAGTCTCACAATTGACAGAGCATGGCAGGCTGCTGAACAACTACTCAGCTACATGTAGGATTCAAGCGTGCCATAAGTTAGAGACCATTCCCAAAACTGCTGCTCACATACGGGAAGCAGACCACAACCCTAAAGCAGCTACTCAGCTGCTTGTGGTAGATCCCACTGTGGAGTTGACTGCCAGTCTCATCATGGGGAATAACTACCACCAGCTGCCCAGCCCTTAACCAGGCCCAGCCAAGTTGACACACAACCTTAAGTACCACATCCTTCAATAGATTAATTAACCAAATTTTGATCTGTTCATACAATGAAATATTAGCATTTAAATAAAAATGTACAAACTACTGATTACTCAACATGGATGAATCTCAAAAATATGTAGAATGAAAGAACTTTGTACAAAAGATTACACACAAAAATGATCCCATTTATATGAAGTACTATACTAAAGTAAGTAAAACTAACCTGCAGCAAGAAAAAGAAAATCAGACCTCTGAGTGGGTCCTGGACCTGGTTGGAAAGGGGGAATGACAACTTTCTGGGGTGATGGTAATGTTCCGAACTTGAATAGGGATCTGGGTTTCACAACTTGTCAAAACTCAACAAAAGGTATACGTAAGATTTGTGCATTTCACTGCATGAAATTTTATTTTAAAAAAATAAAAAAGGATTTCCAGTAAGATGGAGGAATAGGCAGACTAGCAATACAGACCCTCTTCAAAAAAGAAAAGAAAAACCAAGTGACAGAGATACAGAAGATAATCCTGGAGCCCTGAGCTTTGAAAGGAACTATACAGAAGGGGATTAGGCACCAACTACTGGAAAAACCTGAATGAAAACAGGACCTAAGAATAGGCTCTATTTGCCAAGGTCAGCAGTGACATACCAGAGGCTGACAAAAGGAAAGGAGACAGGTGATGAGTGTATAAGTGCTGTCAACTTGTAAATAGAGGAGCACAGCAGAGTACCCTGCTTGTGTGGATAACATACAAACAAAACAAAAATCGTGGGCAAGTCACTTCAACATAAAATCACCAATTAAATATAAACACAAAAATGTCACAATGCCTTGGAGAAAACAGAGTATCACAGTCCACACAAAAAAGCAAGATAAAGCAGGAGAACAAGGGACCAGGATACAGACCCAAAACACATCCCTGAGGAAGACACAGCATTGGAACTCCCTGATAAGGAATTCAAAAGAATTATATTTAGGTATCTTCAAGGAATTGAGAGAGAGATCAAGAAAATCACAGAGAAAACCCTAGAGCAATTTCAAAAGACAATATAGGAACAAAATGACAAAATAAATGAAAAATTAGAGATGACACAAAATTTACACACAGATATCCAGAAGATTAATACTAAATTTTCAGAAGTAGATAAGACATTGAATGGGCAAAAGAGAAGAATTCAATCGATGGAAGACAGAATAGGTGAGACTGAAGGCAAGTATCTGAACATTTCTTTGGAAAGGAATCAATCAGAAAAAAGATGAAGACAAAACGAAGAAAGGCTAAGGTTTACGTGGGATACCATCAAAAGGAATAACCTACATGTCATCGGAATTCCAGAACAGGAAGAGACAAATAAAACCACAGAGAAAACTGTTGAAGATTTCTTGGAAGAGAATTTTCCTGTTATGATGAAAGATGAGAAAATATCCACTCAGGAAGTCCAACGAACAGCAAACAGGATAGACCCCAAAAGAAAATCACCAAGACATATCATCTTCAAACTCACCAAAACCAAAGACAAAGAAAGAATCCTGAAAGCAGCACAGGAAAAATGAAAAGTTATCTACAAGGGACAACCAGTAAGACTAAGCTTGGATTTCTCAGCAGAAACCATACAGGGGAGAAGATAATGGGATGGTATATATAAAACCCTGAAAGAGAAAAATTTCCAACCAAGAATTATGTACCCAGCAAAATTGTCCCTCAAATATGATGGTGAAATTAGGACATTTCCAGATAATCAGCTATTAAGGGAATTTATTAAAAACAGACCAACCTTACAAGAGATGCCAAAGGGAGCCCTTTGGACAGAGAAGCAGCAACAGCAAACAACAACTGACCATTAACACACATGATGATATAACCGAGAAACCAACCCAGCTATGGAAGTATTCAAAGTAAATAAGCCTGCAAGATTGTAAACAGAGAACCAGAGAAATCAATTAACAAATGAGGACAAATACAAACCAAACAGAGGGAAAAAACTGTGTAGTCACAGAACTCTAGATGGTAGGGAAGTCAAGAGACTATAAAATACAATGGACTGTTCTAAACTTGGGAAGAAAACTAAATGACAGGGTCACCTCAAAGAAAATTATAAACCTTCACATCAAAATAAAAAAGAGGACCAGCATAAATATTGAGCAAATACTAAAAGAACAGCAATGAAGGAAGTGATAACACGATTCATAAACAAAACAAGCTCAGCATAGAAAATTCTATGGAACAAAGAAATAAACACCACGAAAAAGCACATAACAAAAATGACAGCAACAAATTCATATTTGCCAATAATTATGTATTTGGCAAGGGACTTATCTCCAAGATTGATAACAGAAGAGTGGATGACCTAACAGTGGTACATGTTGTTGTTGTTGTTAGGTGCCGTTAAGTTGTTTCTGACTCATAGTGACCCCATGCACAGCAGAAAGAAACACCACTCGATCCCACGCCACCTCCACAATCCTTGCTACACTTGAGCCCACTGTCGCAGCCATCGTGTCAGTCCATCTCGTTGAAGGTCTTCCCCTCCTTCGTCAAACCTCCACCTTACCAAGAATGATATCCTTCTCCAGGGAACTGTCCCCACTGACAACATGACCAAAGTAGGTGAGACGAAGTGTGGCCATCCTCACTTCCAAGGAGCATCTCAGCTGCACTTCCTCTAGGACAGATCTGTTAGTTCTTTTGGCAGTCCATGGTACCTTCAGCATTCTTCGCCAGCACCACAACTCAAAAGCATCAACTCTTCTTCAGTTTTTCTTATTCATTGTCCAGCTCTCACATGCATATGAGGTGAT